TCAGTGTGTGGCCTTTAGTGTTATTTTCCGAATTAATTCTTGAAAAAGGCTCAAGGATACTTTCCACTGCTCTCTTTATCTGCCCCAAGCTAGAACCACTGGTTTACACCCACCTGTTCTCCCTAAATCAAGTATTACTATAGTACAATCATTCATGTTTAACAAATAGGGTATTGGCAACAAAAGTGACTATGGAAAAAATAAATCAAGCACACACTTACTCTGTAGGGTGTTACCAAGAAAGAAAACAACAATGTGGATTGAAAGCCACATCTCCTTAGAAATTATGTAATTATTCGATCCAATATTTCTTTTAGTCAGTTTCTAAGCATATGAGCACACGAAAAAGACCTTCAATATCCCTGTGAGGTAGGTCCAGATGTCGTCCCCACTTCAACAATGAGAACATGAGGTACAGAGGGATTAAGCAGCCGAGCTAAAAATTAAACCAAAAGTGACTTGGGGTTGAACTCTAGGCCATTTTCCTTTCCACTTAATTTTCTAAATTCATTCCAATAGATTTTGTTGAGGGTAGGGAACTTGGTGAGAGACTGAAGCAGATGTGAAATTGGATATGCAACTCTTCACATACTCTAAGGGGACACTTTTCCATGTCTGCTGTTGTCACAGCTCCAGTTCTTGCCTGGATACCAACTGCATAGTTGTATCCCACATGCAAACAGAGATCCCAGCCCTTGCTTCCTAGGGAAATGCTATTCATTTTTCTCAGCACAGAGGGGATAGGTCTACCAGAGATTTGGTTCTTTGAGTGTGCTTTTATTAACACACATCGACTAGCAGCGAGGCAGCAAACTGAACTCAAACTGCGCAAGGCACTGTGAGTTTCCACCAAGTCTGCACAGTCAAGATCTTCCACGGCTTCTCAGAACCATGGTGTGTTAGATCATTTCTCTTTTTTTTTTTTGTTGTCCAGCTCAAGGTTCAACCCTCTCCTTTTACAGATGGAAACACTGACATGTACTTTAGGTCACTTGCCTGGGGGCCACAATATTAGATTGTTTCTTCATTAAGTCTGACTTCGACAAAATTCACAGAAAATGGAACATATTCTCAGGTTGCCATCATCAAATTAAAAAGGCTGGCTCAGAATCAGGTAAGGAAATGTTGGAACAAGGTAAGGATTATATACACACACACACATATATACACACACTCACACATACATACATGGAAGGATATACTTATAGATATTTTCAATTATTTTTGCTCACAAGTACATGAACAAGTATTAATAAACTTATTCTTCACCATGAAAAACCTTCCAACAGTTCACCACTCAAGGGATCCTGAATGACTTGATAGTTGTAAAATAGACCTTTTTCTTTTCTTTTTTAAAAAGAAGCAGATTTTTATAGGCATATTTAGGCTTAATTTCAATGAACTTGAACACTTCCAGTTAATTTAGTAAAAAAAAATATTTCTACTATATGAATTGTTCCGATTAATCAGGTAAGTATATTCTATATTTGCCTAGGGCATATAGTAAATTCAAATGAAATTTTGTTTGGGGTCTGCATGTTCAAGTAGTGCTTTAATTTTTAAGTGGCAGCTTATCTGTAAACAAAAATCAAAGTGCTAATGACTTACAAGGTCACAGACATTTGGAAATACCTAACTCTTGATAGGTTTACAAATGTTATTGAGCTTTACTCAAATTATCAAAGGCAACAATAACTCTCAGTAAAATGGCAATGCTAGGCATGAACACAGTTAAAATTCTGAGATATTAGTGTTTATAGAACATGCTAGTATAAGAAATATATGAGTTTTAGTAGGGTCTTTAATCAAAGACCACTGTCCTTCCAGAACCATGTTGAATTCTATGCTTACTAGCATTAAAATTACAGTAATTTTAAGTGACTGATAGTTTTATTCAATGATATTTTGTCATTAATGTATCTCATGTTTGGAAGATAAGTAAATGGGCTTAAATAAGAGGCAATCAATAACCTTGTGCTATCATGCCTAGTTGAAAAGAATAATTTCTAATAATTCATTCACTCTGCTTTCTTCCACATACCATGCTATCTTTGAAAAAGTCAAGGCACTTTCCCATCTACTTCTAAAGTTACAATAATCTCTTTCCTAAATTAGGGGAACACATAGAGGACATGTCTTGAGATGGAGTTATTCGGCTAATGACATTTGTCCATGTTTTTATTAATAATATAGATGCTACTTGCCTTATGGACAAGCTTTAAAATGACCAGTTGAATCAATTTATTAAGCCAGAATCTTGGACCAAATGAGAAGTAACAGAAACCATGCTCTTTCATTTCTTTTCTTTGGAGACAGGGTCTCATTCTGTAGCCCAGGCTGGCTTCCAATTCATGGCAATTCTCTTGCTTTAGTTTCTGAAATTGTGGGATTAAAAGTGCAAACCAGCATGCCAGGTTTTTCAGAATGTGACTTAGAAAAAAGTCTTTTAATTTGCAATCTCCAAGTCTGGTGAGATTGAAATGCTTTGGCAAAAACATGCTATTTTAAAATGTTTTTCCTCTGGAAACTACCATGGCAGTTTTAATAAAGGGATATTATGTATCAAAGAAATTAAAGTTATGTTTTTTTCAATCAAAAATAACTTTCACAAAATAGTTGGTTAACCCAATGGAAAAATACAAGTTACACTCTATCCTGAGGCTAAGGGAAAAACAGTGTGGTGGGGGAGGAATTAGAGACCAAGGCGCACTCCGTCACATTAGCATTTGTTGATTCATTTCACTAAGAAGGAATCTCATCCCCAACCAAACTAATCACCCCCCTGGCGGGGAAGCAGTGTGAAACAAAGAAAAGAAAAAAGCCAGATTGTCTTCTGTGTAGTTCGAGAAACTATGATTAGTCAATCACTATACTGAATAATCAATTAACACATGAGTAGTTCTAATCGAATTGACATATTGTAAAATGTTATTTTTAATGACAAATACTATTGTAACTTGAATTATACTTGGTCACCTCCAGATACAAGCTATTCCTATTTCAATATCTGTTTCATGGAAACAATTCGTTACACTTCTTGTTTTTTGTGTTGTTGAACAAAATGAAGTGTGATTTGTCCACGGCAGAAAAAGTATCTATGATCACTACTTGGTCAAATTCTAAGGCTCAAAATGTAATGTAAGATTGCCAAGGGCTGACATTCACAAGGAATTATCTTACCAGTAAGGATTAAGATTTTGTATTATGATGGAATGGAAATCAATTTTGGTATTTAAATGTCACAGTATGAAGCATAAATCTGATGACATTAGCTGCAACATAAAACATAGATATGATTTTCCCTGACCTTAGCTATAAAACAAGACATTGGGTATGCATTTTCAGAGGCTTTCTTCTTGTCTATAAAAATACACCTTCAATCCTGCAGCAAGCAGACATATTTGCAGGCATACACAATAAATATGCTAGAATTTAGAGATCTGGGGTGGCTGGGTGACATGGGGGGGGATGGGTCTCCAAAAGTGTTTGTGCAAACCATTAGAACAACACCAAACTGGTCTTTCCTCCTCTGGTCAAGGATAAGGATTCCAGATTAGGCAAAACTTTTAAAAGTGGCTTTAAAAGGCTTGACCTTGTATGCAGAAATGATTGTTCTGTTCAATAAAATGAACTGACTTAAAAGCAGTTAAGAAGGATAAAGAGAATGTATTCAGTAATGGCAAGTACAAACAATGCCCATATACAGGCATTCCCTTGCAGTTGAATTCGTGTGATATCAAACTTTTGTTATATTTTAATTTCAAATTGTAGTAGAACCAGAGGGGTAATCTCACTCAATTTAACTGTAAAAAAAAAAAAAGAGAGAAAGATGCATGTTCCAACCAAAACACATGATCAATTTACAAACGGAATACAATTTTATCTAAATTTTACTTGTCTTTCCTCATTGATAATTTCAAAATGTTTAGAAAGGATTCTCAAGCAGAAGGCTAAGAATATTTTCCCAGCTCTGACTAGACTACTGCATAGTCCATAGCTACAGCTTCTCAGCACTCTTTCTCAATGTAAAATGCAGGCTAAAATGTGGCTTTCATGGAGGCCTTGATATCTCACAAGATTAAAAATCTCAAAACACTTTTTTGATTTTTTTTTTTGAGACAGTGTTTCTCTGTGTAGCCCTGGATGTCCTGGAACTCATTATGCAGATCAGGCTGGACTTGAACTCAGAGATCCACTGCTTTAGCCTCCTAAGTACTGGGATTAAAGGCCTGCACCAGGATGAATTGGCTCTCAAGACACTTAAAAGGGGAAATTCTATGTATTTTCAAAGGAGGGAAAAGACACATAGGGGAAAGGAAATGAGAGCTAACGCGGCCATAAGATGAGTTAGATGTCAACTATTTTGAGGGGGTGGAATGGAGGACAAATGAAGAGCAGTGAATTAAATGGAAAAAATAAGATTCTTGGTCTCAGGTGTAACTCACAAGGTCTGAACTAATGGTTTCAATTTTAATCCACTTTGTTAGGAAGGGCAATCTTGCCCCACACCTGAAATTTAACATACTCATGTTGGCTTTGCCACAAAACAGCATGTTAAAGGTCTCTACATTCAAAAGGATGCTTGCAAACTTCATATCAAAATCTACGTGGACATGTTGTTAATACATTAATAATAATAATCCTGTAAACCATGGCATACCACATTTTACATTATGCAAAGAGACAATATTTACAAGTCTTTAGGAGTTTAAATATTTTATCCACTAACATAAGTGACAATTTAGCAAAGTGCAGGAGGAAACCAGTGCTATTAATTGCATGTTCTTTAAAAGCAGAGTAAAACCATTTCTAAAAGCTACCAAAAGCGTATTTGGGTGTGTCCAGTAAGGGATTACAGAGCATTAAATAGCCTAGAAAATGATGCGTATTTAGAAACGGTGAGTGTGAAAATCCTAAGGCAGCATGCTCAGAACAAGGGTTTTGTTTGTTTCTTTACACACCAGCACTGATGTTTTTAGTGTCAACTACGTATGATTGTATATGTTTGTGTGTATTTATTTAAAAATTGAGAGTGCAAAACACAAGCCTCATTTAATAACAAAAAAGATGTGCAAATTGCCTTCTTAAATCAACACAAATAAAAGAGTGAGAAGAATATTCTACTGTTATAAAGAATAAATTGAACACAGCAAAGGAGACTTCTCCATTCCAAGATCATCTACAAGGCACTAAGGGTAGGAAATGACAGAAAACACAGAAGTGACCGAACAAAACTCCTCAGTCAGGTCGGAATATGGGGTATTTTGGTAAGAATTCTATTAGGATTACCTGTAAAAAAAAAAAAAGAAAAGAATATATTGACAAAATAATCTTTATTTAATGTACATAAACTTGCAAAGTCTAGTTGATTTCCACAGGACTGTATTTTCATTCTGAATTACAGGAAGTAAGTAAAATATACAAGATGTGACAAAACAGGCCATGCTTTTCAAAACTGAACAGGACGGTGAACCTACCCGCTAGAACTGACAGCTGCTACTGCCTGATTTCCAACAGTTACTTTCTTAGAACCAAATTCTATTACATTTTTATATCCTAGAGCCAAGTAGAAGAGATTAAAACTACTTTATACAGATTAGGAAAAATAATACCAGTTTTTATTTTATTTTTCAATTAAAACAGCTAATATTAGTTGAGGATTATTATTTTTTGAAAGTTGTTTGCAAAATAGGAGTTGTCCAAATGATTGACTATAAAACAAGCGAATTGCAGAAGGGCTTCCAAGATTTCTGTTTTTGTGAGACAAGAGCCTCAATTTGTGGCCCTGGCCAGCCTGGAACTCTCTATATAGATCAAGCCGGCCCCAAACTCACAGACACCTACCTGCTTCTGCTTCCAAGTGCTGGAATTAAAGGCAGGAGGAACTTCTCTTATTAAGCTATTATTATCATCATGATGAAGACAGTCCTAAGGATCAAACTCAGGGCTCTAGATGCTGGACAAGTACTTTACCAACTGCACTATAGTCTCAGACCTGGCATGTTTAATGATAAACATTGGGAGCTTGGAAGATCCATGATGGTGGACTAGATCATGTTGTTTCGAAGTGCTCTTATGCTTTATGATTAAAGCTGCCTGTTTTCTTTTCTTTTTGAAATTGTTTTGAGATAGGGTCTCATTATGTTACCCTGGCTGGCCTGAAACTTCGAGATCCACTTGCCCCTGACACCCAAGTGCTAGGATGAGAGGTGTGTGCCACTGCACCCAGCAAGACCGCATATTTTCAGTAAAAATGCTTAGCCAATATTTAAATCTATTTTAATAGATTTTATTTATTCAATAGTTTATTCACTCCAAGTCAAATTTCAGCCATATTAAAGATGAACCAGATAGCCAGGTGGTGGTGGCACCTGAAGGCACAGGCAGGTGGATCTCTTGTGAGTCTGAGGACAGCCTGGTCTACAGAGTGTGAATTCCAGGACAGCCAGGGCTGTTACACACAGAAACCTTGTCTCGAAAAACTAAACCAAACAACCAAACAGGAAAAACAAAACAAAACAAACAAAAACCAAAAAAAATAAATAAATAAAAGAAAGAAAAGCCAGGTACGAGATGACTTTATGGGAAAAAAAAAGAGAGAAAAAAAAAAGAAAAGAAAAGCCAGGGATATGGTTCCAGAATTGAAAGTTAATTCCTTAGGTAAGTTTTTTTATTCTTTTTTTTTTTTTTTTGACACACTTGCACCGTGGTGTATTTTGCTAGGCAGCAGCTGTTCTCAGTGCTGTAGGTTAGGGTGTACAACATTTTGAGCTGAGACTTTTCTAAGATGTACATGATCTGTAGGCTTTCAAGATACTTTAGGTTGGCCACAAATCTAAAGAAAATGAATGGTGGCCTCTATGCCCCAACAGACAGAAGTTCAGGCTGAGAAGCTAAAGGGCCTGAACAACAGATGGCAAACACAGTAAGCAATACATAGCATTTGGGGTGAAATCACAAGAATAATTAAAACAGCTTCATACTTACATATTCCATCATATTGCTAGTTTCACATTTCCTTTTAGTCAACTTCCAGTGCAAAGCAAGCTAAAAAGGTAGAGTTTGGTTAAGAATTTTTCTATCATCTTTGGTTAATTGCAATGTACTGCATTTGAATAAGAGTAAAATCTAGGCTGCATGCCATAAAACAGCACCTCAAATACCTTACCCAGAAGATATGCTAGTAACGGGGTAAAAGGATTAAGTTTGCTAATCCATTCCTTTGTATGCTGGATTAATTCACTTAGTACTTACTTTTTCAATTTGATAATTCAAAACTATAAATAGGGTACCTACTTGCCTTAAATTTCTTACCTTGTGGTATAATCTGTTATTTTCCCATTCTAGTAACTTCTGAATTGATCTTCTGGTCTAAGAAAAAGGATTAAGATTCCATGAGAAGATAACTTAAACATTATAAGCTACATGTATCTGTGTTTTTTGTCTTCTTGTAAGGCATTACTCATTTTTTGTTTTTTTTTTATTACAAATCAGAAAAAAGTGCAACATATATAGAAACTGCCAAAAGTGAAGTAACACTTTGAGTGGTTACTGCATAGCTATAAAAAAAAAAAATCTCTCTGTGAGTTTGAGGCCAGCCTGGTCTACAAAGGGAGTACCAGGACAGGCTCCAAAGCTACAGAGAAACAATGTCTCAAAAAACAACAACAACCCCCCCCCCAAACAAACAAACAAGATCTCTCCACCCACTCATCCATCCATCAAATTTTAATTTATGCCTTTTTAAAAAAATATTTATTTATTAAGCATACAATGTACTGCTGGCAAGGAAGGCACCAGGTCTCATTACAGATGGTTGTGAGCCACCATGTGGTTGCCGGGAATTGAACTCGGGATCTCTGGAAGAGCAACCAGTGCTCTTACCCTTTGAGCCATCTCTCCAGCCCCTAATTTATGCTTTTCCAAATGAAGTATGCATATGAATTGCTGTGTGGTACGTGGCCATGCACTGGACAGCTATGGAAACCCATCAACAGTGCTAACACGGAGCAGCAGCAGCTGTGGGCCTCATAAAGATGTTCGAGAACCTTTCTCGGGACTACTTTTTCAGTAAACACATCACATTCCAAACTAAGCTGGTTCAGCCCAGGTTTTCCTAGCAGATGGTAAAGTGTAATGGAGAGATGACACAATGCAGGAACCGGACATAGCAGAGTCTCTCCATTCTAATCCATTCAAAATGCATGCATATTGGAGGGTGTTAGAAAGTCTCTAAAGCTTTTGAAAACGCTGGAAGATTACCAGGCATTTTTGATTCTTATTGGAAAGGGTTTTTGATTAACATAAAAGAAGGAAACCCAGATGCTCCCCAGCATTTGGGAGGTGCACTCTGTGAGTTCTGCACAGTTAGGAGTAGGTGCCACAAGTGAGATCCTGCGTCAAAATACATAAATAAGAAAAGGGAGGAAGGAGTCGTTTGTAAAAAAAAAAAATTGAAAAGAAAATTCAGTAGAAAGACCTGTATTTTGATCATGAAATGATGCATTCTATTGTTGAACTGTACACACTGCTTAAGGCAATACACAAATGAGAAAGAAAATCCTCAGACTTGTATGGGACCACCAAAGACCTTCAGAGACAAAAGAATCTCGAGAAAGAGCAAAGGTTAAAGCCATCACGTGTCCTGATGTGAAACTCTTAATTGAAAGGATAATCAAAACAGTGGGACACTAGTGTAAAAGACAGACATAATGGCTGCTCTTGCAGAGGACTGGGATTCAGTTTCTAGCATCCATGCTGGGAGATTTATAACCAGTTGTAATTCTTTTTTTTTAAATATTTATTTATTATGTATACAATATTCTGTCTGTGTGCATGCCAGCAGGCCAGAAGAGGGCACCAGATCTCATTACAGATGGTTGTGAGCCACCATGTGGTTGCTGGGAATTGAACTCAGGACCTTAGGAAGAGCAGGCAATGCTCTTAACCTCTGAGCCATCTCTCCAGCCCCCCAGTTGTAATTCTTACTCCAGGGGATCTGACACCTCTTTCTGGACTCCATGGGTGCCAACACACACACACACACACACACACACACACACACACACACACACACACAAAACAACCCCCTCAGACATAGACCAGTAGAACAGAACAGGGAACCTAAAAATAAACCCACACACGATCAAGTAATTTTCAAGAAGGCTAGCAAAAGTGCACACTGGGAAGGCAGGAGTTTCCTGAATGGTGTTGGGAAACCGGATATCTAAAGGTAAGCGTGAAGTTGGTCCAAGCTTTCTTATATTAACTCAGATGAATTAAAAGCTAAATATTTACTCAGAAGCTAGAAAACTCATTTTTTAAAAAAAGATAATATGCAATAAGCTCCTTTATACTGCTTTTGGCAATGTTTTCTTTTAATATGAACCCCCCAACAAAAATACCCACCCAAAACAAAACAATAACAGAAAACCCTAGCACCTCTCCCAACTCCCACCAAAAAAAAAAAAAAAAAAACAACCCAAAACATAAAACCCAGACAGGGAGAAAATAAAAAAAGAAATCAAAAGGCAACACGCAGAATGTGAGACCATTATCTGCAAGTCATACACCTGAATTAAACTCCAAAACATGTAAAGAACCCCCACAATGGAACAGAAAAACAACAAAACAACCAGCAAAGAACCAGTCCAAACCGGTCCATTAGCAGAAGGGCCAACTGGTGAAAGAGGAAAAAAAAATTCTTTAGGCTTTTGTTTGAACCACTCTGCTTTTAATTTCTCACCAGGGGTGGGAGGTGGGAATGGGGGGTAGGGAAGAAGTCAGCCATTTTGGAAGTATGCCACCTTCATTACCTAGTCATGGCTCCTCTCCCTACCTGTCTGCCTATCGGGAAATCTGTCTAATTCCCAGTTCTCAGTATGATGATATATGGATCGGTAGACCACTTTGAAGCCAACTTTTTCATTGCTGAGACTAGCAGAATTTTGGAGGAGCAGGAGGGAAATGGTGAAATTTAGTAGGGGATGGTGGCACACGCCTTTAATCCCGGCACTCGGGAGGGTGACGCAGATGGATTTGTGTGATTTGAGGCCAGCCTGGTCTACAAAGTTCCAAGACAGCAAACTCTACGTAGTGATACTCTGTCTCAAAAAAGTTAATAAAGAAAGGTGTATAAATATCTAGCTTTTCCAGAGTTTGGTTTTGTTTTGCCTGCAGTCACTTCTGCTGTTGTGACACCAGGTGGCGCTCTAGGTCCAGGTTTCTGTATAGGCTTAGCAGTTCTCAAGACCTCACTTTCTCTTTTTTTCTTTTTGCTCCCCCCCTTTCTTTTTTTTTTTAAGACAGGGTCTTACTATGCAGCCCGGGCTGTCCTGATAACTCACTGTGTAGATCAGGCTGGCCTCGAACTCACAGGGGTCTTAAACTTGCAAAGACCCACCTACTGCTGTCTCCTGAGTGCTGGGATTAAAAGAATGTATGAAGGGGCTGGAGAGATGGCTCAGTGGTTAAGAGCATTGCCTGCTCTTCCAAAGGTCATGAGTTCAATTCCCAGCAACCACATGGTGGCTCACAACCATCTGTAATGAGATTTAGTGCCCTCTTCTGGCCTGCGGACACACACACACACAGAATATTGTATATATAATAAATAAATAAATATTTTAAAAAAAAGAATGTATGAAGTTTGGTCAAATTTGCTACTCTTACAGAGGATCCAGGTTGAGCACCCGAGTGGCAGCTCACAAGTGTCTGTAACTCTAGTTTCGGGGCATGCAATGCCCTCTTCTGGCCTCCATGAACAACAGGTGCACAAGTGGTGCATATACATACATAAAGGCACAACACCCATACACATAAAAATAGAGAAATAAATAAGAAATTAAATAATGATATCTCCTGCATAGAGATCATTTGACCTATATGGATTCACTGCTGAATTCTATGAAATCGTTAAGGAAGAAATTAGTATTTCTCAGTAATATCATCCAGAAAACAGGGACAGAGCAAATCCTTCCTAACTTGTCTACAGGGCCATTATTTCCATAGTACTCAAACCAAATAAAGATGCTACACAAACATACCTGTAGGTTAGCTGGTATTTCTTTGTAAACAATGCTACAATAATCCCAAATTAAACATTACAAATACAGTAAGGTATTTATCACAGCCAAGTGGGATTTGAAAATCAATCCATCATATTAGCAAATGTAAAGAAATATCATGTGCTCGTACCAATACATTTAAGGTTTCTGACAAAATGAAACAACACTGAGTGGACTCAGAATAGGAAGGAACTTCTTCAACTTGAAGAATAAGATCTAGAAAAAGCACAGCTAAATTCATAGCTAAGATCACACATGGAACAGCTGAGGTACATAGCCAATATTCCTATTAAAAGTCACAGTGAGCCAGGTGGTGGTGGCACACACCTTTAATTCCAATGCTTAGGAGGCAGAGACAGGCAGATCTCTGTGAGTTCGAGGCCAGTCTGGTCTACAGAGCTGGTTCTAGGATAGTCAGGGCCACACAGAGAAATCGTGTCTCATAAAACCAAAACAACAACAACAAAATCACAGTGGTTATCATAGCTAATGTGATAGGACAAGAAAGACAAGACAGAAAGAATGGGGTATGTATCTGGCTGCTCACATTCCTGTAACAGTTTACCATGGAGCAGGTGGCTTTTGAAAAGCAGATATTTAGGGGCTGGAGAGATGGCTCAGCGGTTAAGAGCATTGCCTGCTCTTCCAAAGGTCCTGAGTTCAATTCCCAGCAACCACATGGTGGCTCACAACCATCTGTAATGGTGCCCTCTTCTGGCCTTCAGGCATACACACAGAAAGAATATTGCATAAATAAATAAATAAATATTAAAAAAAAAGAAAAGAAAAGCAGATATTTAGTCCTCAGAGGTATGGAAGCGGAGATGCCCAAGAACATATTGCCTGAAGACGCAGTATCACATGAGGCACTAATTCTTGGCTCATGCATAGTCATCTTCTTGCCATGTCATTCTTTTTGGCAGAGGGGTGAGACAGTTATCTAGGGTTTCTTTTTTTTTTCTTTTTTTTTTTTGGTTTTTTTTCGAGACAGGGTTTCTCTGTGGCTTTGGAGCCTGTCCTGGAACTAGCTCTGTAGACCAGGCTGGTCTCGAACTCACAGAGATCCGCCTGCCTCTGCCTCCCGAGGGATTAAAGGCATGCGCCACCACCGCCCGGCTATCTAGGGTTTTTTTAATAAGGGCATTCATTCTGTTCATAAGGGCCCTGGCTCATGATGTAATCACTTTTCCAAAGCCCCACTCCCCAATACCATCACATGATGATTAGCTTTCAACACAGCAATTTTGGGAGATGTAAACATTTAGGCTGTACCATTCTGCCCCCCGTCCCCAATTTCATATCCTC